GTTCAAGACTAAGCTGGTGAAAGGATGGAGATGGAACAAGAAAGGGGCCCTGTCCAGGCAGGGTTTTGCTGGGGTATTTTGTTTTGTTTACTTTTTTTTTTTTTAAGTAGGCCTCACATCCATTGTGGGGCTTGAACTCAGGACTCTGAGGTCAAGAGTCACATGCTCCACCAACTGAGCCAGCCAGGCACCCCATTGCTGGGGTATTTTGAAGTGAGAGAGACAGGTTTGTGACAGAAAGAGAAGTGAGAAGGAAGGACCTGTGAGAGAACCAGGAGATTTAGGGAAACCAGGGGAGGGAGCTGAGGGAGGTCTGGACCTCCCTTAGACCTACTTAATGCAGTAATCAGGGCACCAGGGATCAGTGGAGGGGCTTCAAGGAGTGAAGCCAGCAGAGACCTAGCATTGTGCGCAAGCTAAGAAGGGAGGGGCAATGCCTAAGGGGTGGTAGGAAGCTCTGAGTCCTGTCCCCCTATAGGAAGCCCCAAAGTGGCCCTTGCCTGTGAAGAGGCTGAGCTTGCCCCCAAGCAAACCACAGCTTTCTGAAGAACAGGCTGCTGTGCTGAGGGTTGTCCTGAAAGGCCAGAGCATCTTCTTCACTGGGAGTGCAGGTAGTGGAGGGCAGAATAGGGGCTGGGGGAACGGAGGTGGGATACAGTGGAGGAGCAGGTGACCCTGACTTTACCCTCTGCCCAGGGACAGGGAAGTCTTATCTGCTGAAGCGTATCCTGGGCTTGCTGCCTCCCACAGGTACTGTGGCTACTGCCAGCACTGGGGTGGCAGCCTGCCACATCGGGGGTACCACTCTCCATGCCTTTGCAGGTAAGTAGGAACCTCTAGGGCTTGAGCTGGAAGCAAGCCAGGCCTCTGAGAAGGGAGGGAGAGGGGGTCAGGGTTGGGCCAGGGCCACGGTCTCAGGCTAAATACTCTCTTTCACATCACTCACAGGCATTGGCTCAGGCCAGGCTTCTCTGGCCCAATGTGTAGCCCTGGCTCAGCGGCCAGCTGTGCGGCAGGGCTGGCTGAACTGCCAGCGGCTAGTCATTGATGAGATCTCCATGGTGGAGGCCGACCTGTTTGACAAGCTGGAAGCCGTGGCCAGGTGAGTATATGCAGTAAGGGCTGTGTTCTGGTGGTTTTCCATATGGAACCTGTCCATCCCAGCTCCTATAGTACCCCATGCTCCTCTCCAGAGCTATCCGGCAGCAGAACAAACCATTTGGAGGGATCCAGCTCATCATCTGTGGGGACTTCCTGCAGCTGCCACCTGTAACCAAGGGCTCCCAGCCCCCAAAGTTCTGCTTTCAGGTATCACTCACCCTCTAGCCCTGTCCTCCATAGATGTCTGCTCTTCTCCCTAATACCCCTATTCTCCCCACACCAGGCCAAGAGCTGGAGAAGATGTGTCCCAGTGACCCTAGAGCTGACTGAGGTGTGGAGGCAGGCAGACCAGACCTTCATCTCTCTGCTGCAGGCTGTCAGGCTGGGAAGGTGGGCCCTGGTGAACAGAGAAGGGGCCACAGATGAGGATCCAAGTGTGGGTCACAGGGGAACACAGGGATCCAGAGAAGGGGGAAAAAATGCTTCATGGCCCCATAGAAGATGGTCACTATGTGAGCACTGGGACCCTGCCTCCTCCAAGGTTGGGTCCCCATCACCCAGCACAGGCCCTGGCACAGAGTAGGTGTCAGGGAAGTGTGGGCACATGGACACACAAGAGGAAATCAGAGATGTTAACACTCCTATTTCACAGATGCCGAAACAGGGGTTCAAAGAGGTGAAGTACCTTGCCCAGAGTCACAGCCAATAAGTGCCTGGGCTGGGATTTGAACCTGGTCTGATTCTAAAGCCCAAGTTCCTTCCACTCTCAGAGCCTATGGAGTACTTGATGAGGGAAGGAGGTTGCAGACATGATCCCACCCCAGCTAGGACAAAAGGCTGAAATGCCAGGACTAGTCTAATGTGAGAGTGGACAGGAGGACAGGAAGGTGGAAGACATGGCCCAGAGCTGGGCTTTGAAAACCAGACTGAAATGGGATGGGGAGCAAGTGGTTGTGGTGAGGGGCTTTCTATGCTTAGAAACCCCTGTCAGACAGAGGAGGCAGGTAGGAAGGTGCATAGCATACACCAGCATGTGTGGGGAACAAGAGGAAGGCTGAGTGGCAGAGCAGTGAGAGATGGTCCCGTTTTTCCCCCTTCTTCCACCTGATTTGCTGTTGTTCCCAGGCTTTCTCGTGTGGAGGAAAGCTTGAGATAGAAACACCAGCTAGGGGCACCTGGCCGGGTCAGTCGGAGAAGCATGTGATTCTTAATCTTGAGGTCCCCAGTTCAAGCCCCACATTGGGTGTACAGATTTATTAAACTTTAAACACACACACACACACACACACACACACACACACACACACACACACACACACACACACACACACACACACACACACACACACACACATATATATATATATATATATATATATATATATATATATATATACATACACACTAGGTTTTTGTCCCCAAAGCAGCAAGCAAGAGGCTAGAAGATAGTAGCCTGGAGACTGATTTGATTATAGGCTACCAGTATGACAGGTTATCGACATCAACACCTTGTCTAGGTCCTTTAAACTTCTGGCCTATACTCATTCATCATATCCAACTTCCTCTGGAGCATTGGGGTGGGAGGGTGGCTAGCTCCTACCTGGAGGCATTCACAGGGAAGGGAGCCTGCCCATGATCATTCTCCATGTCTGGGGTCTGAGTGGGGAAGGGCAACTTGGTCAGCCTGGGGGCCAGCACATTTTGCCTGGTGACCCTTTCTAATCCCTAAGCCTGACCCATGGCCTATTGCTTGGGCCATATCAGCTCTGTGCCCTGCCTTCCCTGGTGTTCAGGGGGGTGCTCTGCCCTGACAGCCTAGCCTCTACAGGTGCTCAGATGAAGTGACCCACCAGCTCCAGGCCACAGCCTCCCATAAGGTGGGGCGAGATGGGATTGTGGCCACGAGGCTTTGCACTCACCAGGATGATGTGGCCCTCACCAATGAGAGGCGACTGCAGGAACTGCCAGGTGAGCAGGGAGCCAGGGCTGGGCAAGACCATCTGGGAGAAGCCGTCAGGCACATGTGGGCCCTCCTCCCCCAACAGCTTGGATATTTAGGCCCCTAACTTCTCTGGCCATAAAGGCATTTACATTTGTAGATGTAACTGTAACTTGGAGAGGCAGGACTTTGAATGGGTCAAGGTCACCGAACTAGTAAATGTTGGAAGTAAGACTTGAACCCAGGCTCCTGATTCAAAAGCCCTGGCTTGCCTGAACTGTCCCCACTACCTCCTTCCATACCCTGGTCTAATATATGTTTTTGGAAACTGAACCACAAGTCAGTGACGTGTAATCTGTTTGCCCAACTCTTTTTTCCTAGGTGAGGTACACAGCTTTAAGGCCATGGACAGTGATCCCGAGCAAGCCCGAACCCTGGATGCCCATTGTCCTGTTAGCCAGATCCTTCAACTAAAGCTGGGGGCCCAGGTGAGTTGGGAAGCAGGGCCAAGACCCTGAAAGCCTGGGCCTCTCCTGTCCTTGCACCTCTCCTCAGGCTGCTTCACAGCCAGAAAGCCTAGCTGTGACCCCAGTGAACTCCCTCCCTCCCGCTTCTACCCACCTTCCTGTCTTCAGCCTCCCACTGCCCTCCTCTTGCTAGGCCTGGGAGCACCAGCAGCAATGCTTTGGACAAGTCCCTTTCTCTTGCTGAAGATCAGTTTCCACATCTGTGTAGTGTGAAAGAGCCCTGCTTCTTCCCATGGTGTTGGGGTGGGCCAAATGGGAGACTTGCCTTGGGTTCCGAAGGGCACTTAAGGGCTGGAGAGGGGTGGCAGGACCTGGGGCTGTCCCTCATGATTGCGGCCCATACACATATCACATAACAGACATGATCATTTTCAGAGCCATGTGAGGTCTGTTACATTATTGCTCTTTCCCTCTTCCTGAGGCAAACAGCAAATGTCATTCCACTTTGACATTAGGTGCAACTGAGACCGGGGAAAATAAAGCAGCTTGCCATAGGGGTCACAGTCAGCAAATGGCAGAGTTAAGGATTAGGTCTTAGTGCCCCTCCATGAGTGCCCCCCAGCCTCCTGGGGGACTGCTACAGCAAGTCTGGAACTGAGGCAGGGCATAGGAATGGGCTGTTCTCCATGGGTCAAGTCCTCTTTCTCTTGCAGGTGATGTTGGTGAAGAACTTAGCGGTGTCCCGAGGCCTGGTGAATGGTGCCCGTGGGGTGGTTGTTGGGTTCGAGACAGAGGGGAGAGGTAGGCAGTGGGGGAGCAGTCCTACAGCTTGGGTTTGTGGCAGGGCCCCGGGGTATGTGAGGAGGAGAAGGCCTGCTCCTCACCTCTGAGCCCTGAAGCAGGGCTGAAAGGTGGGATTTCTCCACACCTCCCTCAGGGCTGCCCCAGGTGCGGTTCCTGTGTGGAGTCACCGAGGTCATCCATGCTGACCGCTGGACGGTGCAGGCCACTGGCGGCCAACTCCTCAGTCGGCAGCAGCTGCCCCTCCAGCTGGCCTGGGCAATATCTATCCACAAGAGCCAGGTGAGCAGTCAGTGCGGGGGATGGGGACAGAGCAGGGCAGACGGGGGGACTGAATAGACCTAAGGCATGTTGAAGGGGGTTCTTAAAAGCTTTATGGAGGTTGAGTTTGCTCTGGATAGAAAGTTCCAGACCATCGCTTCTCAGCCTTTTGGCTAAGATCAAGTGTAGTCAGAGTTCCACACCAGTGGCAGAATTAACCTTTCTTTAGTGCATTTCCCATCCTGCTTCCTCTCCCTTTCCCAAACACATAATCTCCTATTCTGCCATTTTGTGAGGCACTACCAGATGTTAAATTTAATCCTTACAACTGTGCGAGGTATAGATGTGATCATCATTCCTATTCTACAGAAGAGAAAACTAAAGCTCAGAGCAGTTAAGTAACTTGCCCAAGGTTACACAGAGAGTGAGAGGCAGATCCAGGATTCATTTCCATGCTTGTCTGACCCAGACCTGTGCTCTTTCTTTTCGCCACCATCCCTCTACTGAATTTGTGTCTCTTGGACCTCCTCCCACTCAGACACTCAGCCGCTGTCAATCTGTCCCTCTGCCTTGAGAATCTCTAGACTGGGTGAGGAGCTCCAGAGGCAGTAGCTGGACTGGTGTAGGTGGGATCAGGCTCTTGGGCACAAGGGATTTCAGGTTGAGCTGGCTCCAGCTATGTCTCCCCATTCCCCCAGGGCATGACCCTGGATTGCGTGGAGATCTCTCTGGGCCGAGTGTTTGCCAGTGGCCAGGCCTATGTGGCCCTTTCCCGGGCCCGCAGCCTGCAGGGCCTGCGTGTGCTGGACTTTGATCCCATGGTGGTTCGCTGTGACCCTCGTGTGCTGAGCTTCTATGCCACTCTGCAGAGGGACAGGGGCCTCAAGATGGTAAGATGGAATCACCTGATGGTGGGCCATATAGCGTGGGAAGCCTGGGAACTATGACAGAGGGAAGGCCAAGGGATCCTGGGGTAGGGATGGCAGAGCCTTCTCTGGCTCTGTTGGGAACAGGGGCAAGAAGAAGGAGATGCTGGCCCCTGGGCTGTGGCCTTAGGGGACAGCATGAACCGATGTCTGGCTTTCTCTGTCTCTGATCCAGAAGTCTCCAAATGATGATGAGGCAGCCTCAGACCAAGAGAATGAGGACCCAAACCTTTGAGCCTCAAAGAGAAGACAAATGATGGTCTCCCCTACTTCTTCCTCCCTAGTGGGCCAGGGCCTCTGAAGATAACTTGGGGAAGATAGTCAACCCTTTCTCCTTCGTTAGGGCTCTCAGCCTCCTGGTCTTTCCTGGTCCAGGTTCAAGGGAGACTACTTCTTACCCCTTTTCCAGCTCTGCCTCAGTTTCTCCCTTTGCCCTGGGTAAGCTACTTCCAGGGACAGGAGTAACCCTTTCTGTGCCAACTGAGAAAGGGCTTATGGTGGCACCTGGTGTTATAGGACAAAGCTCTCTGCGAGGGCTAGCCCAGGGCCACACGGTTGTGAATGCTGCCCTCTTTGGGCTGCAGAGAGGAGAGGCAGTGAAGACAGGTGCTTCAGGAGCAGGAACAGGCTATAACAGTCCTGAACTGGGAGACTCAGGCCAAATACAGGCCCCACACAGAGAAAGGAACCTGGGGTTATCATCACAGCTAGGCCCAGGATAGCACAAGCCAGGACACACACTCTCCTGAGCTTAACCTGAGAACACACAATGCAAACCATGTGCCTGTTATCTTAAGCTCCCTTTTTGGAGAAGAAATCATATTTAGGGGTATTGAGATGGATGTTCTCAGATCATATTTATTTAGGACAAATAAACTTGTGAATTGTGTAAGGACTCTGAGTTGAGTCTTCTGCTCTCCTTAAGAAGGCATCCCATGGGGCTCAGTTCGTTAAGCGTCCAACTCTTGATTTCCACTGAGGTCATGATCATGGTCATGAGGTTGATCCCCACATTGGGCTTTGCACTGGGCATAGAGCCTGCTTAAGATTCTATCTCTCCCTCTCCCTCTGCCCATCTCTCACTCTCACATGCTCACTCTCTCTCAAAGGCACATCCCTGCCTGAGGCACTGGCTATAAGTGTTGCCATGGACCTCTCCCCGTGGGTACACACAGAGGTGTTTGTTTACATCACGATGGCTGAGCTCACGGTACCCTTATATGAGCTTTTATTAGGATCACCAGTTATTTGGAAAGCTGAGTTACCCAAGATTGAGACTCACAACGAAATGACAAGGTGAATCACTGTTGCCCAATAGTCAGACAAAGGCACACAAGAGAATTCACATGGTAGGAAATGGGCCTGTCACAATGACTGAGTGCTGGGGATCTCAGTTGCAACTTTTTTATTTTGTGCCTTGCTGAGTCTCCAGCTTGAATGTTCCAATTGGGAAAGGATCATCAGCAAACTAACTTCAGTTGTTCAAAGAGTCAGGTGGAAATTGCTGAAGGGGCCCTTACAGTTTGGCTAAAACTAAGGTTCCCTGCTTATGAGTAAATGTATTTTAAATATGAAGTTGACAACGGTAAGGAGTGAAACCATGCTGGTTGCAGGAAGACATGAATTCTGGGTACCTGAGAGCATTTATCCTTGTCTTCCAAGAGCCAGCAGAGGCCCCAGCACACAGAGCAGGTGCTCAAGGAGTGTCTAGTTAAATGGTGGAGACCATGGGTAGGGCAGCTCAGTGCTATGGTGCTTCGGAGGAGCTATGGATCCTCAGACCTTCCCCATGGGCTTCATGGAAGAGGCAGGGTTACAGCTTGTGGAGAATTAGACTGACAGGGGACAGACCTGGCTTTCCATCTGATTTTGCCACTCGCCAGCTGTGTAACTTTAGGCATGTTACACAGCCTCTCGGGGGGGTTTCTTTATCTGTAAAGTGCAGGTGGTAACTGTGACTTTCTTGTAGGGTTGTTAGGAGAAAGGCCAGCCACATGGCAGGAACTCGGTCAGGAGCTGTCATTAACATTTATGATCACTAACGATTATCACCATAATATCTGGTTCCTACACTCCTTTGGCAGACAAGATGTGGAGCCTCAGAGGGGTGCCAGCCTCACCCCTGTACAACCCCTGCCTGTCTCCCTCTTGTCACCACTTTTCCTGATCTTGAGGAGTTGATTGTTTTTCTGTAGCTTGAACCCTTTTCTTTGCCCCAAATAGAAAACACTCCTAGGAGGAACCAAGCCCATCAGAGTGACCCCCCACCCACCCACAGTGGGCAATCATGGTGGTCTTTAAATGTAGTGCTGTTTGAAAGTCAGTGTTTCCCATCTGCCTATATGACATAGCCCTCCTTGCAGAACCAGCTCTGAGCTGATCTCACCATGCCCTGCCCTCAAGGGGCTTACTGGTCTGGCTGCACTTGCTTTTTTCACTCTTTTCACTTAACACAATTTGGGGACCATCCAGTTCAGCACAGATAGCACTTGCTTGTGCTTCCTAGCAGCTCTGCACCTTGGGGGTTCTTGGATGGAAACAGAAGAACTTGACTCAAGATAATGAGCAGGAAAGGAAGGTAATGGAAGGCTAGCTCAAAGAACTGATATGAAGCCCAGAAACCCAAGCTTGGATACAAGTGAGAACCAGAGAAGCTAGAACAAATGGCAAGAGTGGAGCCGGGGGCAGAGGGCTGGGGGAAGTTCTGTGTCCCCTGGACACAAGCACAGCCATCAGGGAAGGAATCCTGTATTTTCCCGCCTCCTTGCTTCACTCAGCCCACACCTAAAGGCAGGTGCAGGTATGTGGCTGGTGGGGCTTGGTCTCCAATGCAAGCCCTGCAGCTACTAGCAAGAGTACCTAGCAAGAGGTTGGATATACCATCAAGGTACGAAAGGGACCAGGGCTTCTGCCAAGAGATGAATGTCCCATCATCCCCCAGAGCCAGGCTGTTGAAGATGTTTGAGGATCCTGGCAATGCAGTCATTTCTTCTGCATCCTCTCCTGGGGCTCTCCTCTCTGACCGCTCCCCTACTACACACTAGTAGGCATGTCCCACTACCCCCAGATTTTTTCCCCTCCCCCAAGGACTGATTTTAGCTTTCCCTGGTCTCATATGGACTTGCCCTGCTTAAAGATGTCTTCCTCACGGGACTGCCTGTATACCAGAAAGTCCCTTCTTGATGTTCTCCAGAAGGCTCCAGAGAAAGGCACACTTGTCCCCTGTGAGGAGGAGCTGCCCTCAGGCCAGAGGGATATGTGTAAGGAACCTCACAGTCCTTTATGTTCTTGGCATCTAATTTAATCTAACTTCAAACCTATATCCCTGAGGGCGTAGGGAAACCCCATCTTAGAATTGAGGGCTCCCCATTCACCCCTGGCATCACACAGGCTGGGAGTAGGGCTTGCAAGAGCAAGTCTCTTGTGTCCATGGCCTCATGGTGGCTGCTGACACCCACAGTGACAAGCTCCATAGGCTTTGACTCTACCCAGGCCCTAGGGAAAGGTAAGGGTGGAGGAGAGGTCATAGCCTCTCCAGGAGCCTCACACTCTGCCCTCCAGAGCCCTGCCACCTCCTTGTGGTTCTCCCAGGGCACCTTCACTCACCCCTCACCCCTCCCTAGTTTTGGAAACCCTCCTCTCTCTGCCTCTCCTTCCCCCCGGCATAATCCCCTCAAGAAACTGGAAGCAAAAGCCAGGAGAGTGTGTTCTCAGGTAGCCTCTGGATTTGAGGCAAAGAAGCCCAAAGGCCTAGTGACCCTGCTTAGAATATGGGGGTGTGGTGGACAGGTAATTATGGTCAGAACAGAGAAAATATCTCCAGTAATCACTGTCATTCTGGGATAAAAGAGACTTCCCGCCCAGCCTGTGTGTTCATTCATGCATTGATTCCACAAATATTTACCTATTGAGCACCTATAATGTTCCAGGTGCTGGGCTAGACCCTGAAGACCCCAGTGAACCAGAAAGACATGGCCCTGGGATGCTTAGGGTGAATACAGGGAGACAGATTTATAAACAAGCAAGCAACTAACTAAGTGATCAAATAAGGAGTACCTGTGGGTGAGGAGAGCTCACTTAGAGGATAGTTGGAGAAAGGGACTGGGAGGTGGGTGCCTTTCCTCTGCATACCTCCCCGACTTGGGCTAACCTGAGATGTCCAGATTAACCCCTCATGACTCACCTCAAACATCACCTCTGTTCCCAGGACCTAGCCCTGCCCCTTTCTAGAAAAAAGGCTCCAGTCTCAGCACATCCACTGTGTTGTCCTTGCCTGTGGGTCTGTCTCCTGCACCAGAAAGCTCCTCAGAACAGGATTGAGGCCCCTGCTTCCTGCAACCGGTGCACCCAGCCCAGCACAGGGACTGGGGCAGGCCAACAGCATGGAATGAACAAAGGATGAAAGAATGCAGAGATCCCGCAGTTAGGGGCCCAGGGGGCTTCCCACCTGCCTGAGCATGCTGTCCAGGTGATGGGGGTTCCTGTGCCACTGCTTGGGAGACCTTCTGTGTCCCCTCTAGTTGCCTAGTCATGGGCATTTCCCATCCTTCTCCCCTCCACTCTCCAGAGGAAGGCTGGAGAGAAGTTTATCAGGTGGACAAGTTGGAGAAAGCCATTTAGGAAAAGGGAACTGTGCAGTACAAAGGCATAGAAGTGTGAAAGATGGAGCTTGACATCCCACTTTAATACACTGGAAGCAAGAGAAAATGGCTGTTGGGGGAGGCAGACATATTCCTGAGGGGGCTCAACACAGGGGTGAGAGCCCCTCCTGGAGCTAAGAGGGGCTCCTGTGAGTCCCACTTTCTGCCGCCCCACCCCCCTCTTCTGTGCCTGAAGATGGAGCACTCAGTAGTGACCTGCCTCCGATGGTAATTAGCAATTCACAAGTCTGTCTCCTCCTGGAATGAGGTGGAGCCTTTGGGAGCAAGAGACCTGGCTTCGATGTCTTTGCGTCCCCACAGCACTCAGCATGATGGACTTCAGAAAGGAGATACTTCATAAAATGTTTGATAAATGAAAGAAAAGGTCCCCTGAGAGGCAGGGATGTTTACTCTGATTTTGCAGACGAGGTAGCTGAGTCCTGGGGAGCTAGGCAGTAGCTGGGCTGGAACTAGAACTCCGTGCCCTGCCCCCCAGTCTTCCTGGAGGTGTCCAGAGGAAGTGAAATGTGGGGCTGAGTTGGCAGATGGAGTGCCCAGCTGCACCCTACCCTCAGCGGGGCGGGGGGGGGGGGGG